GATACCGCACTTGTGTCCCTTTGAACTTCAGTCGTATAATAAATCTCTTATTAACCAAGCTTGCTCGGGACCGTACTGGAAGAATATCGGCCCTCGGTCTTTTTTGTACGGACCTCGCTGCGCTCGGTCCGTACTCAGTGTCAAGACCTCGGGCCGATATTCTCCCAGTACGGCCCTCGCGCTTGGTTAATAAGATATATTTATTATATAACAAAAAGATTTCGCATTATTAGGAGCCGTGAAAGAAAAGGCCAACTGTGTTTGTAGCACAATAAACTCACGTCGGAGTCATTCCTGTTTTCCAGTTGTTTTGACTATCATTCTGCTGCTTTTTGCGCCTCCATAACTGACATTGTCCAAGAATTGCGAACTAAAGACTTATTCAATTTTTTTCTATGCGCGGAATCAACGCCAGCATTCCCAATAAAAATTAAATGCAGGATTCTCTTCAAAATGGCCACGGGCGCTACCAGCGATGCAATAAAGATAATAAACCCCAAGTCCGAATCGGACTGATTCACTTGCTTTCGTTTCAGAGACAATTTTGAAGCCTAGAAACTGGAATTCAAAGACCATGAAAACTTTTCGAGACTACGTTTTGAATTCGAAGCGACGAGATGCATTTTCAGTGGTTAGAATTAGTCTGTCTCAAGAAAAATATGCACAGATTTCTTAAAGCTGAAATCCGAGAATTAGGGTATTCCCAGCTATCACTTTCCGCTAATCAGTGTTCCCGCATTTTCCGGTGGGGTACTGAAGGGTGTTTTGCATATTTACGAAAGTTTTATCTTGTTAGAATAAGAAACTTGCTCGAAACAAATAATGCCACAACTGTACCGAACAAGTGCAAAAAGCGTGGTTCGATGGGCTTCAGGTGCGGATGTTCTCAGGCTTCTTATTTTCTCTTCACCTCAGTCAGCCCTTACCGCGCTCAATGGACAGTTTATTAGAGAGCCTGGTATGGTTTCCTGAAACAGAGCTACTGTGACCACTCTGAATTTACTGGTGTGTTCACCATAATAAATGATATTTAGAGGTAAACTGCGTCATTTTTTTAAAGAAATTTTTACGCACGCACACGATTTAACTCTCTCTCCAAGACTGTGACGATAGCAGCAGCCAGCCTGCAGAAGAGATGGGTATAATAAACAAACTGTCATCGTCAACGCAACCCGTGTAGAAAGAGAGTTCGCTTTTAGCGTATAACCAGTAAAGTATCGACTTCTTTATGCCATTTCACAATGCGAATTTTGGGGTCATCCTCGGTGTAAACCTGACGAGGTTTTCTTTGTTTCATTAGGTATTGTTTTGCCGCACGCTATTGTTTATAATGTTTTGTTGTCTTTGTTTTACGTCACTCGTGAGCTTCACAGGTTTTTACACCGAGGATGAGCCGAGTTTTGGGGAAGTGCTCACGATCATTTTTTACCTTGGGGATAGATAGCGCCTAAGGTGTTAGAATTGACAGGTTTATGACGTGAGGGTAAACCGTTGTTGGATTAACCCAGGTTAAAATCGAATAGCTGAGTGTCATTGTAGCAATGCCAACGGAACCAGCTCAAATGTTTACTGAGGCACGAGGGAGGGGAGAAAAGAGAGGAAGAGAAGGGGGGAGGGAGAGAAGAGGGAGAGAGTTGGAACAATTTTCTCCAAGAGTTTCGAGTCAAATTATTATAAATTCAATAATTCACTACTACTTATCTATAAATCATTTATTACAAATTCTCAGGGCTACACTGCAAACAACATGATAAAAGCAATTTAACTACTCAATTTAAGATTAAAAAGTTTCTAAAAATAGGCTTTCCAAGCAACCACCAAGTTAAAAAAAAAGTTTCACACTGAAAATAATATTTTTTAAGAGGGTTCCTTCACTTGAATGACTAAAAGATGCATGCTTAAGCGTCAGTGGCTGAGGTGTCCTCCCAAATGACTCACTTAGTCTTAGCAAAACCAACACGATTGTTTCCCAGATCAAACTCGGTATAATATGGGCCAATAAATACATCTCCCAAGATCCACAGGGGGCCAGCAGGAGCAGGGATGTCAATACCTAAGAAGCCACTCAGACACTCAGTTTGACCCATGACTGTCACCTTTCCAAAAAAAAGACAAAAATATCCAACAGTTAAGAAATTGTTACTGGGAGCGTTTCAAGTGAGGGTAGTAAAAACCAACACCAATCACCTAAGCCATTTCACTCACAAAAAAATGTCCAGTTGTTCGAAGGCCGATTAGCACTAATCCAGGGATAAATTTCGAGTCAGGTTTTCTTATTTCTCTCTTTATTCAAGAACCTTTACGAGATAATTTTCCCTGTTCTTTTTAGAGCATCCGATCTTCAAATTGTAGACACAAAATAATTAAATTGAACTTTCTCCTAAAGCTTTCAGATCTGAAATCAAATTTCACGCTAACTCTGGGTTAACTTAACTCAGCTTTGAACAACCCGGCCCAGATCTAATAACTAATTCTCCTAACTTTCTGCCAAACAGTTCTTATTTTGTTAATTTGGAGAGAAAGGGTTAATTAAGTGCCATGGGCAATTAGTGGTGTGTGGCACTCTATTTAACAAATGGTAAACACCACTGCGTACACTATTGAGTTACGGATGCACGCGGGAGGTTGCTAAGCACGAAAGAAGCGTAAGAGTCGCTCGAGGCGATAGCCGAGAGCGACTCTAGCTTCTTGAGGCGATAGCCGAGAGCGGCTATCGCTCGAGGCGATAGCCGAGAGCGACTCTAGCTTCTTGAGTGCTTAGCAAACCTCCCAAGTGCATCCATAACTCAATAGTGTACGCTGTGGTGTTTACCATTTGTTTTATAACATAACATTAACACACTGTAGCTAGAGTTCTCTTTTATTTAACAAATCTTACGTGACCAGAAAAAACAAGCGCGCGCGGAAAAATAGTCTTTGCATTTGCTCACGTCAGCAGCGTACACCCATGGGCAAATGGGGGACGCTAAATTGACCAATCAGAGCGCGCGCTTTACTTTGGTTATGTTATAAAAAAAAAATATATGAACTTCATATATAAATTGCAGCAATTCATTTGTTACCAATGAACGATGTTTTTATGAATTCTCGGAAAAAGATTCAATCCTGTCCGTTCGTGACGTTCTATTAAGTGCACGTGGCACGTGCACCGCCATGACGTGACTCGCTTTGGGGTTTAGCTTCTCCCTCCTTCTTTTTCGGTGTTAACTCCTCCACCCCCACTAGAGTAATC